TCAGACTGAGGAAAGCCCTCCAAGTTCTTGAAGTGGGTCGAGTACCCTCAAGGGCTACTAGCCTATGTTTCCCAGGGGGCACAGAGCCAGGACCAGTCCAGACTCTGGGTGGTGGGAGTGTTACCCCCAGGAAGGAGGTTGGCCAGAAGTGATGCGCCCCCAGGGAGGCACTTGGAGCCTGGAAGGTGATTGGGTGCAGTGAGATGGGTGGCTCAGCACAGGAGCACCCCCTACTGGCCCACCACATAGGCAGCCTTTGTGCTTGGCATGTTGTAGATTGGGAAGGGAATAGACAGTACAACAATAGATAGGGTAGAAGCAGAAAGAGCAGCAGATCAGGCAGAAGAAGGAGATCTGGGACAGTGCAGGACTAGTTTATGGCATGCCTGCCAAAAAAGCTTGGCCTACACTGGATTACCTAAGGAAGAGGGAATTCACCGTTGGAGAAATTTTGTGTCCACGTGCCTGTGCCTTTGTGGGATAGTGATGGAAGGTTCTTTGGAGTGTACTTTGGGGATGCCCCAGACAGGAAGTAGCATTATGATTGAAGACTTAGTGTGATGCAAGGAGTACATGGTAAATACAGTAGAGTTCATGTTTGGCAGCTAAACGTCTTTCTAAAAAAGCCCCCCAAACCCTTTAAATGAAAGAAAATACTATTATGTACACATACAGCTTGTTCTATTTAAGTGCATTGCCTTGGGCCCAAGAAAAGGCTCTGCAGTTACTGGAGGTATCTATTTATCTAGAGGAGCACTGATGCATCAGTCTGTATCGTATTGGCACCGATAAAAGGAAAATTGACATTATTGGAAGTAGGCTTTTTTGGCTGATGTGACTGATAATGTCACTGATAAATGCTGCATGCATGTGCGTAGCCACAGCATGCACATAGCCAGAAATGCAGCCTAGCAGCTTGGAGAGCAGCATCCAGCTGGTAAGTCTGTGGGGGGGAAAGGGGCTTGGGGGAGGGGAGGAGCATGGGGGCTGCAGATCAAGGCTCCCTTGGTAAATGAGGGAGTGGGGCTGTGGTGGGCAGGGCTGCACAGCCGGGGTGCCAAAGCGTGATATGCAGCCACAGGCAGTTTGTCCAGGAGCAATGGGGGAGAGGGGCAGGGCAGGGTGCAGCTCGCCACTGTGCACGCCCCTGGGAAGGCATGGGGTACACATTCCCCCGGATCTGTGCACAGGGCAAGGGCGGGATGCCTACTGTGGGCTTGGGGCCCGGGCTACGCCAGCATTGTGGGGGCTGGGCCGGGTCGTCACTTGGGGCAGGTAGCAGCACTGGGAGGGGGAGCTACAGTGAATTTTGGGTTGGCTGTAGCCCAGCCCTGCCCAAGCGCAGTCCCAGCCCAGTCCTTCTGCTGGGAAGAGGCTGGCGCAGCTCCGGCCCTGAATGGTCAGCCTGCCCTTGCCCCATGCACAGATGCCTCACCTGGCGTGCACACAGTGGCGGGATCTGTGCTCCCCTACATCCCCTGAACAAGCTGTCTGCAGCTCTACCTTGCCCTGCCCCAGCTGTGCAGTACCTGCCCAGCCCCACTCCCTCCCTCACCATAGGGGCCTCGATTTGCCCCCCACCACATTCCTTCTCTTCCCCCTCAACAGACTTACCAGCTGGACACTGCTCTCCAAGCTGCCGGGCTGCATATTGGCAGTCGGATCCGTATCAGCTGATATGGCTGGTTAGCAGTCGGCCATTGGTTTTGGCCCAAAAATTTTTTATTGGTGCACCCCTATATTTAGCCAACTTAATGTAAACAGTGTTTATTAATTACTGTTGTGTTATTAGCAGCTTTGAAATTGACCAGGTCCTGTCAATTTTAAGGCTTTTAATAGTAGACCTCCAAACAGCCACTTCCCCTTCACCATTTATAGTTAAACAGAGTGCATTTCCATTACAAAATAACAGTGGGGTTAAAAGATGCTATGTATTTAGCTGATGTGCAGATGGCGGATAGGCATTTTGCTGGTAGGGAAGGAATTACCTAATATGCATGTTAGTGGAGTGCACTGCACTATGTATCATATTTATTTTTGTTCCTGTATTTGGTAACTATTAAAGGACCAAATATCAAAATTTAGTATCTGGTTAAATACCACTTAACCACTATATTTTGATTCCCACTGTTTGTGGGAATTGACACGCTTGATTTAGATTGGAGGTCCATCTAATTTGGTCTCTGAGTCTTGTCAGTCCATACTGCTTTATGAGAAGTAGCAACAACCCTGACTAGTCAGATTTGAAGTAACCTATTAAGTGTCAAATTTTTGTTAAGGAGTTGTAACATCAGAAAAAGATATTTAATATCTAATAATAAAAGATTGGCTTAAACCGTGAAGCACAAGGGCTTAATATTTGTTTCAAAAGTGGGGTGCATTATGACAACACTGGAAAGTGTTCATCTATACAGGTGTCAGGTTTTTCTTTGAATTGCATATAAAGCAAAAAATATATAAAAAAAATGAATGAAATTAAAGTAAATATATGGTGGGTTTTTTTTCTTTTCAGCGTCCTACTTGATTTTGTTTTAGTCATTTTCGCTCTTTAAATTTTTTGCTATGAAACACTGGTGCAGTGGTTACAATATATTTTTTGTGTTAAAAATTTTCCCTTGAAAGTAAAAAAAAAAAAAAAAAGAGCATTCCTATTTGTCAAAAATTTTGTAAAAGCTCATATTCATAAACTCCCCATATTTAATGAAATTGTCACTGGTGCTTAAATAACACTGTCACAGCCAGTTTTTGATAGCCTAAATTGCTTCTCTGACAGTTGTCCCAACATCACAAAGCACACTATTTCCAGAGGCTTTTAATGTTTGTCATGTTGTGGATCAAGTTATGATCCCTTGCTGATAGTAGAAAAATGTTCCTTTTGGGATCCAGACAGGAAGAATTGCTTGCTGAGACTTTCAGCCTTATATATATTCATATATTCAGCCCTTTTTTATAAGGCTATCAAAGAACCTCTTATTTTTAAAAGGGTAAGCAGTCTTCTAATTTGTCCTAACTTAGCTAATTTCTCTTAACTTCTAGAGGCAAGGTTTCATGAATATCTCTTGATAAAATTTTTACCTTTGCTGCAAATCTCAGTGGTTTGTTTGTTTTTTTTTTTTTTTTTTTTTTTCCCCTTCCCCTACCTTACTTTTTTTGTTCTTGTTTGTACTTTG